ATGCGATCCTAGTCTGATGCAAGTCACGGGAGAACAGCACTTGTAACTTGTACGATAAAGAAAGGGTTAATGCCTCGTTGCTGGTCTGTGTTCATAAAAAAAAACGTCTGATCACTGGGATGGCCATGGGTGTGGCAATAACCATTTCTTTATATTTACATGTATATGACTGTAATAAGAGCTCGTGATATTGCTAGGTTGTTGTATTGTGTTTATAAATAAATGTGTTGCGGTAGCAAACACGAGTAATACTATCGATACTTTATTTATAAACAAAATACTAGTGCCTTGAAAAATTACAAGCACGTGCGGCGCCCAAGAACCAAATTACTACGTGAATGATTAACCGGAAATGAAGCATGACCTGTATGCAAATGTTCCTGAAAAATCACCCAATAGCATGCGCTTTAAATATGCCGAGTATACGCAAAATATACGTAGATCTACGCCGATGTTAATTGTGTGCACTGGTTTATTGCATAACCGTATATACTACGTATACGTAGGAATACGTTAGACAGCATTGTTCTGCATTAGGTGTACGTTAATGTGCGCACTGTATACTTCCGGTCTGCGTAAATATACTCCTGTGTATATTTACGTATCAGTATGTTCCGAATGTGTGAATATACGTTGCGTATTCCCCGTACATACGTTGAATGTACGTGTGCGCCGACCAACGTATATCTTCGAATATCGGGAATATACGCGTGCGAATACGCTAATGTACCCGCCGTATATCAACGATTTTGCCCAGTGTACGTCCATCAGTCTTTTATCAGGTCAAAGGTCAAATTGTATGATTCATTAGAATTTATACTAAGATTATGTGAATGTCTCAGCCTAGATGTACGTTACCAATAACATGTAGGCTGAGACGTAAGGAAATATCTTTCACCATAGCAATTGATGCAAAAACAGAGAAAAAAATTTTGATACATTTTTTACACAGTCTGTGTAAGCCAAATCTCAAAAACGTCTGAGCGGATTTAGATTAAATTTGCTGTATATTGGTGTTGAACATCTGCTGGCGGATGATCTTAACCTCTAATGCTATTGTTCCTTCACTGACTTTTGGAAATTTTCATTTCCTGAATATGTTTTTATAAAACAATAATGATTGCATATATTCTGTATTCACATGGGAGTTTATACAAAATAATTTAATTTTAAATTTTTGTCAAAGTTTGCTGTATTTACTCACCTTTACTGAATGCGGATCTACACCGTATGTTTCTAAGGTTCTTGCTTTTCTCAAAAAATTCTCTTCAGCCTCAGATGGGGACTGACCTCTGTGTGATAAGAAAATCAACAAATACAGGAATTAAGTAATCTCAATCTCAATTGTAACCACAAGACTTTTATGATGAGGGAACAAAATACTTTGTCTTCATAGACATTTATAACAAACTCAAAATATTAAGTCAGAGAATGCAAAACATATTACCATAGCAACACACATGCTTACTTGGTCATGGTATGGTGCAACTGTTCAACTCTGTTTTCAACTCTTTCAGACTGTCCGGGACCAAAATAAAACTCTGATGCGTAACCATGGAGATGTACAAGAGGATCATGGTTCCCGATTGCAGCTGTGTACAAATACAACTTGGTGTTATTTCACAGAGAGACATGAACTTGAGCCTTGAATTTCTTAATGTTGCGAAGTGAATTATGAATGCCAGCTGTATGTTAATTTAATCCAGATTGTCATGGTTACAATTACTAAAAATAGAAATGATGTAATCATAGGACATGGCACAGGGTATGAAAGAAATCAAACAAGGACACCATGTGTAGGCGCTAAGACATTTTCAACTTCATCCGAGTTATTTTGCTGTGACCTACTCTATCTAGTTTAACACTATGAGGAATTCACATTGTCATTGTTTCCATAGAAACAAGTTTTTTAGTACAACCTCATTTTATTTACTTGTTCATTTTATTTAATGGAACCTATCTTCTGAGCAAAATAAGACATCCAAGTCAATTTGGGCATGTTTATCATTGTTTTTATTTATTTGGTCTATACTTTATTTGGTCTAAAGTAAGCAATATTTCTTATTTTTAATTTTCAAATTTGAACATAAAAAATCACCTAAAGAAGCGATAATGTTTTTTTACTTACAAAAATAGTGACTGAAACCTATCAAGTATAAATGAAATAATATTTTTATGGAATCTTGCAAAGCAAAATGTGCTCAATGTATTCACAGGCTTATAAGCCATTTTGGTATATTTTCTCTAAGTTACACACGTGCTGCTAATCGTGGATTCTTGAATAAAAAAAATGAAACTGGCAACATGGTTCCTTTGTTTTTTGCATCAAATTGTTAATTTATTGTATAAATTAAATAAGTAGAGGGCTTCTATTGAAGTATTTTCTAGTTATCAGTTTTAATGAGTCTTGTGATATGAATGCTCTCATAATTTTGGGGGTCGGCTTATAATAAATTAGGCATTTTATGATAATGAGTTTGAGATAGCTATTGTCTTTCTAAAAATTGATAAATCGGTGCCTATGAATGCACACAAGTTCACAATATATTTTGCTCTAGGTCAACAACATCTCCAAGAAATACCATATTTTTTATGTAGACAAATTATAAAGACTGGCCACATTTATTGAAATTTTTCCCATAGCAACTGATAAATCAAGAAAGTACTAATGTCAGCACAATCGCTATGGCAACAAAATAAAATTGAAACAATTGTACCATGCTGTGGTAATTGTATCTAAATAGAACAATGCTATTTATAATATGCCATTAATGTATTGTTGGTGACCTTTGACCCTTTCATCACTGCTAAAGTCAACTTTTGCACATCTCACAAAATAAAACACACATAATTTTTGATATACTTTTTCCAAAATGTTGATTACAATCTGCAGTTGGTTAGAAATTACGTTCATTTGATTAAAAACATGCAAAACAAATTGTAATGTGCAAAAATTTAGGTCCTAAATTTTGGTGGGAAAAATTAGCAAAATAAAAAAAAAAATATATATACATGGTCATCGGTCAATTAAATTTACTCACGATTCTTTCTTGTGTTTAAAAACAATCCAGACAAGATAAACGGTTGTCATAGCAACTTGGAATCAGGGGAGTCATAATTCATCGAGCTTGACAAATAATTGTTACCATGGAAACATCACCGTCAAAGTGATAATCACAGTTTGTAAAATTGTACATAGAAATTTCGTTATCATTTGTGAATTTCAACTTGTTGAAAAAATCCACTTGTGACAGCACACAGCTTTTCAATGTATGCAAATTATCTAATAAGTATAGGCAGACTATTTAATAATTAAGTAGTTTTAGACGTTTAACTACAGAAACAGTATGCAAATACAAAGTTTCAACCCATTTAAGAAAACTATCAGGATATGAACAAAACATGGTGAAACTGGTTAATTAGTATAATTATTAGCTGATTAATAATATTGTACAGATTTTTACTAAAATCTGATCAGGTTTACAGTGGTTCTTCACCCACACATCCATCAGTCCATTAATACAAACAGACAGACATGGTTATGACATTAGCCTCCTATTTTGCTCTGCACATGGCAGATGAAAAATGATTTTTAAATAATAAAAATAAATATTTCAAATTAAAATAACAGTTATCAATAATTATATAAGCCTAATCTTTCATGAAAAATTCCAAAAGTTAAAAAAAAAGTTAAATGACTGTAATTCTCACCTTGTACAATATAGGCTCCTAACATTGCCATGTCTTCTTTGGAACACAAGAGTCGACCATGAAGAAGATCTCGTTTTAATTGTAAAAATAACAAATATCTGGTCAGTTCTTCTTTTAGATTACCAATATCAGCAGGGTAAAACTTCACTCTGAATACTAAGTTGAATGGTGGTCCTCCTATGACATAAGAAGAAACAAGTTAACAACGTGGACAACGACAACAACTGAATACTAAGTTGAATGGTGGTCCTCCTATGACATAAGAAGAAACAAGTTAACAACGTGGACAACGACAACAACTGTCAATATATCTGTAACTGCATTAAAAACATATTTTTAAAACAAATATGAGAAGATTCACTAAAAATAAAGAATTGAACTTTGTGGAATATGAAAATCATATAGGAATATACCTGGGCACATAAAATATCAATATTCCATCCAGGAAAAGAAGACTTGAAGTGATTCACAGAAGTGGAAGATGACTTTTATTCTGAGCATGTCCCTTATACAAAGATTTGAGAGAATAATTTCTTTTCCTTACTATTAAAAATACTCATCATTTATAAAAAAAAAAATTTAACTTTTAAATTCTCATAATATAATTTTTCTGTCTTTATCTAAGTATAAATTTAATTTAAAATTAAAAGATATAAAAACAAATATTTCCAGCATTGACTAAAATAACATTTGTTTTTGCGCTATAATATCGAAAACGTTATCAATATCAAAACAATTATTAGTTTTCGAAGACAAAGATTACAAAAAACAACAACATTCAACATGTAAAGATTGAAAAAGAAAGTCAATGTGCTGATTAAATATAGTATGAATTGTATTTGTAACCAAGTTTCAATATGAAATTCAACCTCTGCATATCAAAGAATTGTCTGCACATGTATCCACCCCACCCACCCACACACACACACACACACATTTATTTATCTTCCACGTCTCTATACTTCAAAGGTTACATAAAAGTCACTGAAAATATGACCCTAAAGATCGCATATCTTGATAAATTCTGGAGGAATAGATTCAGTATCAATAAGAATTGCTCAGTTTATGGTTTGTCTATCACAAAGCCATGGTTAGTAATTTTTAAAAAGAAAATCTGCATAGATGAAATTTGAAAATAAAAATTACAGAATAAAACAAATTTACATATAAATGTAAACACATTTGATAGAGAAAAACAATGTCATCATGAAAGCAAATCTAGCATAAAACTGAGTAAATGAAGAACAAGCAGCCTGTCGGCTGAGATAGCTCCGCTGTTAGCAATGCACATTACAATTAAAGAACTGAAGATATCATTAGAAAATGAAGAATATGTATAGTATCAAAGCAATGGGACTTGCTGTTTTCAACAAGAATTCAAAAATATTCACTAAAATTAGAGAATTAAAGATATCAATACAAAATGAACAAATCTAAAAGAGGTCCACATGTAGTACCTATATATGTAATATCAAAGCAATCAAACTTGCTGTTTTCAACAAGAATTCGAAAATATCACTTTTCACCAAAAATGACAAAAATATTCATCAAAATTAGATAATTGAAGATATCACCACGAAATTAACAAATCTGAAAGAGGTCCACATATAATACCTATATATGTAATATCAAAGCAATTGGACTTGTGGTTTTCAACAAGAAGTCGAAAATATCACTTTTCACCGAAAATGACAAAAATATTCATACATGTATCAAAATTAAATAATTGAAGATATCATCACAAAATGACCAAATCTGAGAGAGGTCCACATGTAGTACCTGTATTTATAATATTAAAGCCATTGGACTTGTGGTTTTTAACAAGAAGTTGAAAATATCACTTTTTACCAAAAATTACAAAAATATTCATCAAAATTAAAGAATTGAAGATATCATCATGAAATGAACAAATCTAAGAGAGGCCTACCACCAAGTATGAAAGCATTCAGGCTTGTAATTTTCAAGAAGAAGTCAAAAATATAAAACATTGACACAGACGACGGATGCCGACGGAAGCCGGACGCCGATGGATAATCACTCATATGATAAGCTCCGCTTGACAAAGACGACAGCAGAGCTAAAAATAATTTACACCATTTTCTACCCCTCTCAGGGTTTCTAATGGCTAGCCCCTTATTCTTCCACAAAAGGCAATTCATTGGCATTGCAGTTCAAAAACAGCTTTGGCAACTACTGATGTTAACAACAACAACAACGCAAACTAGCCAGACGTTTATCCTTTAAAGGATTTCATTCTTAAGAGTAGTAACAAAAAACGTGCAGATATCCATAGCAACAGCAAGACAAAATCCTCCGGATTGTCAATAATAACAATTATTTACTAATGGTCAAAACACTTCAGTAAAATTATTTTTAATTAGAGGACTGCACGACATGAACAGTTTAGGACACCTAATGTCCTAAGATCACTTTGCAATATATTTAGTATCAAAGAATTATAAATATAATCACAAATTTTTGAGGACAAGCCAAAATTCTAAAACATGAAATAGGATTTTTCATTTACAGGTCGCTGACTTGATAAACTGTGAATTCCTTCCATACTCTACTGGTTGCATCATGTCCAGACATCTCTATGTGGTTCCTGTCTTCAAATGTTTTCAAAATTATCTACTAGTATCATAATTGTTAAAGCTATTGTTATAAATATTTTTGTTTCAAAATCAAACCATTTAAAAAGTAGATTTTATATATGATCAAATATTGATGGTCAAACACATAAAAGAATATTTTAGAGTAAACTTATAAACAAGTAGCCTCTCGGCTGAAATAGCTCCGCTGTTATCAATGCACATTTCAATTAAAGAACTAAAGATATCAGAATGAAATGAACAAATTTGAGAGAGGTCTACCTGTAGTACCTATATGTATAATATCAAAGCAATCGGACTTGGGTTTTTTTACAAGAAGTCGAAAATATCACTTTTTACCGGTACAAAGTTGACAGCGGAGCTAAAATAGTTTAGTTACTTATATTCTATTAATTTTTTTCTACTATTGGTAAATAGAAATAAACGTAAATAGTAGCATAATATTCAATAAATATAGTGCTGTCATATAATTTAATAATATTTTGTTAACTTATGACAACTAATGACTTTGTCAAAAATATCATTTGCTTTAAAGAACAATTAATATTATGAAACATTAATATTTCATATTATAGCAAAGTTGAGGGAAAACAACATACCTCCTGGCTTTTTGTATATGTAAAATATAAGTGAAAAAGCTAAATGTAGATATGACAACTTTAAGTGTTGATTAGTTATCTTCACATTTTAATATAATTTAGATATACTAAATGACTTTTCAAAATGTTTCTTATTGGTCTAGTAAAATTTGCATACTAAAATAGTGGCAGGTGGACTCCTTACGCAGATTTTCACGGTGATAACAATTCATAATGAAACTCAAAACACCATAAAGCTCAAGATCAAATGGTCGATATTGTGTTCTAGATACAATGTAGCTTGATTGGCAGTGTGTTTATCATATCGTTGTTTAATGATCTTCGATATTGGGTGACGATGAAGTTGGTGCTTTTCTCAAAAACAAAAATTAAATACTGCAATTTATTAAAATTAAATGATCACCATACTAACAAACCAAATATAACGTGAAATAAAATTACTAAACAAGTATTATAAGTCACTTAAAAACAAATATTTAATTTAATAAATATTTTTGATTGTTTCACTGACGCAACCGAACTGTTAAAATATTTGCTGACTGTTCTCACTCTGGTTAAATAACAAAAGTGAATAAAAAAACACCACATTAATATTATTTTCTAACATATCCTAAATTCTCAAAGGGAAACATTAGTTTCTATAGCTGTGAATACCCCATGTGGTCTTAGAAATCGATCACGCAATGAAGACACTGTAAATTCTGCGTCATAAATTTGGCAGTATTAAGTTATAAAACAGGCATTCTTTGAATGTTGACATTTGGCCACATATAACTCAATCAAGAAACGATATCTATAGTTTTGAAACATGTACAGACTGCTCATATAATCGCTTTGAGTACTTTGCGTAGGATTTGTTTGTTTGCTATAGTCTGTGCAAATTGCTATAGATTTATCAGCAATGCTTTTTTTTTTTTCTTTTTTTTTTAATTTTTCATACTGAGCATTAAATCTATTAAAGGGTGGTCGCACAGCACATGTTCGAATTTCATGTAAAAAAACTGTATTTTACATGCATTGTGTACGTCTCTATGAGTCCCATATCGAACAGAAAGCGACGTGACGACCGCCGCCATTTAAATAAAAGCAAAAGGGTTTTTACACATTATGAAATATTCTTTGAAGAAAATCTGTTTGGAAACATGCAAAAAATTGGCTTTTTGGAGCTATTTTTATGGGGA